CTGGGTTCCAGCGATTCTTGGACCTCAGCCTCCTGTGCAGCTGGGACTACAGGCACACACCACCATGCCCAGCTAATTTTTATATTTTTAGTAGAGATGGGGTTTTACCATATTGGCCAGGCTGGTCTTGAACTCCTGATCTCAAGTGATTCACCCGCCTTGGCCTCCCAAAGTGCTAGGATTACAGGTGTGAGCCATTCATTGCATTCAGCTGTGCTTGTCTTTTTGTGATTATAATTATCTCCTGGTATCCATGAGGGATTGGTTCCAGGACCCATCCACTCTCCCTACCCTTAACATTCTTTAGATACCAAACTCTGCAAATGTTCAATTCCCTTCTATAAAATGGTGTGGCATTTGCAAATAACCTATGCACATTCTCCTGCATACTTTAAATATCTCTAGATTACACCGAATACAATGACTACACATCACTTCATTTTTGTGAATTCAAGGTACTACTCTGTGCATGGCAAATTCAAGTTTTGCTTTTTGATTTGCTGTTGGTTGAGTTCACAGATGCAGAACCCGTGGATATGGAGGGTGACTGAATATGTAAACATTTCTGTGAGGTATATATCTAGGAATGGACTTGATGAGTTGGCATATAAAATAATGTCAATCAGTTTTTCAAACTTTCCAAAGACTTTCCAGAGTCATTGGCATTAAGTACATTCACACTGCTTTGCAAGCATGTCTACTGTCTGTATCTATAACTTTTCATCATCCTATACAGTAACTCTGTATGCATTAAACTGTAACCCCCCATTCTTTTCTCCTTCCAGTCCCTGGTAACCACTGTTTTATTTTCTTTCTCTGTGAATTTGAGGTACTTCATATAAATGGTATGATTTCATATCTGTCTATTTGTTTTACTTAGCATAATGTCTTCTAGGTTCATCCATGTTGTAGTATGTGTCACAATTTCATTCCTTCTTAAGTCTGAATAATATTTCAGTGTATGTATATGCCGTATTTTGTTTATCTGTTCATCCTCCTTCATGGGCACTTTAGTGGTTTCCCCTTTTACCTACTGTGAATTAATCTGCTGTGAACATTGGTATGCAAGTTTATTTGAATCCTTGCTTTCCGTTCTTTTGTGTATATACTGCAAAGTGGAATTGTTGAATTAAATTGTAATTCTGTGTTTGATTGTTTAAGGTATTGCCATACTATTTTCCACAGCAGTTGTATACCACTTTACATTTCCACCAGCAGCACACAGTGTTCCAGTTTCTCGACAGTCATGCCAATCCTTGTTTTCTGTTTTGTTTTTAAATAGCCATCCTAGTAGATGTAAAGTGGTTGTCATTGTGGTTTTGATTTGGTTTTCCCTAGTGATTAGTGATGTTGAACATTTTTTTCGTGTGCTTATTGGCCATTTGCATGTCTTTTCTTGAAAAAATGCGTATTCGGTTCCTTTGCTCTTTTCTTAATTGGGTGGTGAATTGTTTTTTGTTGTTGTTAAGGTGTAGCTCTTTATATATTCTGGATATTAATCTTTTATTAGATATGCAATTTGCAAGTATTTCCTCTTGTTCTGTGAGTTGCCTTTTTTCTCTGTTGATAATGTCCTTTGATGCACAAGTTTTGAACTTTGATGAAGTCCAGTTTGTCAATTTCTTTCTTTTGTTTCCTGTACCTTTAGTGTTATATCTAAGAATGACTTTGATAAAGTCCAATTTGTCTACTTTTTGGTGCCTGTACCTTTGGTGTCGTATCTAAGAAGTTATTGCCAAATCCAATGTCATTAAGGTTTTCCCCTATGTTTACTTTAAGAGTCTTACAGTTTTAGCTGTTATGTTTAAATATTTGATCCATTTTGCGTTAATATTTGTATGTGGTGTTAGGTAAGGGTCCAACTTCATTCTATTGCATATGGATATCTGGTTTTCTGGATAATTGTTGAAAAGACATCATATACTTTTGATGCATGTAATTTGTTAGAAATGTTTCTTACAAACGTCATCTTCCACTCTGTGACTTGCATTTTTATGTTTTAATTGTACCTTTTGATTAAAAGAAGCTCTTCATTTTAATAGAGTCAATTTATAAATTGTTTTTCTTTATGATTAGTGCTTCTGTATACTATTTAAGAAATTGGCCAGACTCAGTGGCTCAAGCCTATAATCCTAGCACTCTGGGAGGCACAGGCAGGTGGATCACCTGAGGTCAGGAGTTTGAGACCAGCCTGGCCAAATGGTGAAATCCCATCTCTACTAAAAAACACTAAAATTAGCTGGGTGTGGTGACACTCGCCTATAATCCCAGCTACTCGGGAGGCTGAGGATGGGGAATCACTTGAACCCAGGAGGTGGAGGTTGCAGTGAGTTGAGATCGCACCACTGCACTCCAGCCTGGGTGACAGAGCAAGACTCCATCTCAAAAAACAAACAAACAAAACAAACAAAAAAAGAAATCTTTGTCTACTCTATGGTCATAGAGATATTCTCCTATATTTTCTTCTAAAAGCACTATTGTTTCACTGTTTATATTTACGTGCATATATGTTTGCATGCAACATTGTACATATACACATGCATACACATGTTTGTATATGTATACACATGCATACATATGTTTATATCTGGAATTCAGTTTTGTGGCTGCTATGAATTAGGAGTAAAAGGTGGGTTTTTTTTGTTTGTTTGTTTTTTGTTTGAGATGGAGTCTCACTCTGTTGCCAGGCTGCTGGAGTTCAGTGGCGCGATTTCGGCTTACTGCAACCTCCGCCTCCTGGGTTCAAGCAATTCTCCTGCCTCAGCCTCCCAAGTAGCTGGGATTACAGGCGCATGCTACCACGCCCAGCTAATTTTTGTATTTTTAGTAGAGACAGGGTTTCACCATGTTGGCCAGGGTGGTCTCGATCTCTTGATTTCAGAATCTGCCTGCCTTGGCCTCCCAAAGTGCTGGGATTACAGGTGTGAGCCACCACGCCCTGCCAAGGGTGTGTTTTTAAAAATGTGAATTTCCAACCCATCCAGCATCATTTGTTGAAAAGACTGTTCTTTCTCCAGTGCACATGATTGTCTACATTCTTTTGAAGAGTAGTTCTTTGATAATGTCATCAGTTTCTTAAAATAATCGGTCTGTTTAGTTTTTCTGCCCTGTCTTGCATCATTTAAACTTTGTTAACAAAATTTGCACACATACAGAAAGTAGATTCAACATTAAGAATTTACCATCTTCATCTTTTTGTTTTTGATAAAGTATTTTACAGCAAATTCTAAAATACGTATCATTTTACTACTACATATTTTACACATATCTCAAAAGTTATGGCCATTTTCTTATAAAAGCACAATACCATTATGATATTAACATAATTAGCAATTATTCATTGGTATTACATAAAACTTTGACAATAATAAAATTTCCTTGTTGGTCTAAAAATGCCTCTTTAGAGTTGACTTTTTCGAATTTGCATTTAGATCAGTTACACACATCACTTTTGTTTATCTTCTATTTCTTTGAGTCCTGAAGACTGCCCTTGCATTTTTCTCTTCCTGCTGGTGCTGACTTAGGAAGAAGCTGGGAATCTTTTCCTGTAGAGTATCCCACATTATGTCTGCTGCTTTGTGGTGTCATTTAATTTGCCCTGTTTTCTGCATTTTCTTAAATAGACATTAGCTGTAAAACATTGATGAGATATATAGACAACATGTTTTGGCAAAAAAAAAAAAAATTGCCTCACAGTTGTCTCACTTTTAGTGATGCCTAGATTGGTGGGTTTAGGTGGCAGTAGCCTAATTTTTTCATTGTAAATTTCTTAATCAAACTTCAACATAGTGGTTTCATCCATTGTTTATCATATCTGAAATCAATTGTTTCCTTAAGTGAGATTAGAGAAGGCTGATTTGTGATTCTGTCATTCTTTTGACATTAATCAGCTGAAATTCTTAATAAATATTCCATCATTTATGAGAATTATTTGCTTACTCTGAAACACAGGTCTAAGTAACTTGTCTAAGCTTTGAAGTGACAGAGCTGAGATTCATTCAAGTCTATTGGATTTTCATGCCCTGATCTTAACTATTGTGCATTTCTGGATAAACCATAATGTACTTAATAAATATGATATTGGCCAGAAATATAGGGTATTTCCAGTTTTTGTTATAAGCAATGCTGCAGTAAATAACTGCATGTATATGATTAGGCACAAGATTACTTGCTGGCTTATTTCCTTAGGAAAATTGATAAACATTTATTGGGCCAAAGAAACATTTACAAAATGAAATTTTTGTATTTCTCTTGACTTAAGAATTATTCTAAAAGTTAACAAAAATCCATTTTGTGTATTTTCAACTCTGACTATTTTCTTTTTGAGACAGTCTTGCCCTGTCTCCCTGGCTGAAGTACAGCGTCATGATCTTGGCTTACTGCAAACTCCAGCTCACTGCAACCTTTGCCTCCCGGGTTCAAGTGATTCTTCCACCTCTACCTCCTGTGTAGCTGGGATTACAGGCTGCGCCACCATGCCTGGCTAATTTTTGTATTTTTAGTAGTGGCAGGGTTTCACTGTGTTGGCCAGGCTGGTCTAGAACTCCTGACCTCAGGTGATCCTCCCACCTCTGCCTCCCAAAGTGCTGGGATTGCAGGTGTGACCCACTGTGCCCAGCCTCTTACTATTTTCTATAAAATTAAATTTTATTTCATTCTGGTTAGTAAATGGGGCCTATACACTTTCTGTGTTTTAAAAGTTACTTGGTTTTTGTGGCCTACTATATAATTAATGAAATAGTTTATTTATATTTATATAATATGTATTTGTTTTCTTTGTAGTATATAAAGTTTAGTATCTCTGAAATTAAACTTTTTACTTTTTATTATTAGGCTATATATCTTGTTATTCTAAAATCAATAAAAAGTTTAGAAAATAATTTTATTTTATTTTAGTTAGTTGTTTGTTTTTGTTTGTTGCCCATGCTGGAGTGTACTGGCACAATCTCAGCTCACTACAACCTCTGCTTCCTTGGTTCAAGTGATTCACTTGCCTTGACCTCTTGAGTAGCTGGGATTACAAGCCTGCACCACCATGCCTCACTAATTTTTATATTTTTAGTAGAGACAGGGTTTATCACCTTGGCCTCTCAAAGTGCTGGGATTACAAGCATGAGCCACTGCGCCATCCTAGAACATAATTTTAAATAAAAATTTTCCTTTCATTTTATTTTATTATTTTAGTGGGAAAATTTAAGTTGACAAAAAATAAATAAGTACAATTGCTAAGATCATCTTGAAAAAATTATTCTTTAAAATTGGATATGATTAAGGTAGTCACAACACTTACTTTCTCTTGTGGGAGTTATACTTTTCTTTTTTTTTTCACGTGGAAGCTGATGTTTTTACTCATCTCACTGTTTGAAAGCACCATTGTGAAGTCAGGTTGTACAGTAGTTAACAGTACCTTTTATATTATATATCTCATATCTATCATATATATACTGTAAACAAGAGGTAACAGTGGCTTCTAGAAACTGATTTTCTTCAAGGTTTCCTGTGTGGTAGGCACCTGAAATACTGTAGAAAAGTGTCTTGTGTGGTGTTCTTGTCTCCCTACTGCTAACTGGGTTCTGTTTTCCGTGACCAGGAATGGTGTGGGCATGACAGCTCAGTGGCAGGGAGGGAATGGGGCCACCTGAATGTCTCTGTCCATCCCCTGCTTGTGCTCCTATTTGATCAGGCTAGAGACAAAAAAAGATATACAGTAAAAAAACAAACAAACAAAAACCCAGTATACAGATTTCTATAGATTTCCTTTTTTCCTCTCTCCCACCTTTCTTCTGCAAGGTATTGTTACTGTTTTCTGTTACTGGTTTTTGCTGAAATAACCTTGTTTCAGTCACAGCAAGAAACAAAACCCAAACAAACAGAAAACCCCTCTGAAAACAGTGGAAAACAAAAGGTCTGACCGGGAAAAAAAGAAAAAAGGGAGGGGGAAGGGGAGGAAGGGAAGGGAGCTTGGTTTTGTTTTTAAATAGGACTGAAGAATAACATTGAAAAATCAGGAGATGATGTCCATCCCTTTTCGCAAGGCAAAGCCCTCCGGTATTTCCACCTCTGTGGTCTTTGTTTTAAATTCCTTTTTCTCTTCTGGGTGCTGTTACTTCTCTCCATCCTCACGTTCTTTGTGTTTTATTATGTTTTGTGTTTTTTTGTTTGTTTAACTTTGTATTGCTACCTCAGTTTGCCCCCATGTCCCTCGCACACACGCAAAATACTCCTTCAACGGAGTGAAGAGGTGGCCGTTGACTGGCACACTCCACGACCGGCCCAGCAGTCTCTGCCTCACCAAGTGGCTCATGTTGGAGACTTCAGTATAGTGGACAGGCAAATTAAATACCCTTTCCATTTCAGTGCACCATAGGATGTCCTCTTCCTCATTCATGAAGACGGTGAATTGCTGGTATTTGCCTTGCTTTATGGAGTTTGACCTTGTAGTAATGGTCCTCAGTTTGCTGAACTTGGCTATCCTTCCATGCTCCAGACACTCCTGCAGCTCCAGCTTATCATTCACAGTGGATGTCAACAGCCTGTTCATACCGGGAAGGTTACCCCAGAAGTAGCGGGCCCTGTGTGCAGCTGACACTTCTTTGGAATCAATCATCACAGGGATGGACTCAAGAAATCGCAATATGTCCCTCTTGTCACTAACGCCCATGGCCACCACATTCTCAAAGAGCCAGAAGAAGGGGCGATCATCTCCCTCCTTGGGCCGCATGCCACGCAATAGGTGGTAGAACTCAAAGAAGAGCAGGCCAGTGTCCTCATAGAGGCCCTGGCGAACAGGGTTGACAATGGAGAGGTCATTGCAGGGACTGCCCCCAATCACAAGATCGAATGGGCCCCACTCCTGGATATGCTTCTGTGTGACGCTGCGGACATCCCCGACGTACATGATCTTCCCCTGGTGCCGCACCATGCCCATTGTGATGGAGCCCTCACACACCTCAGAGGCAATGTAGCGGTCCACCTGAATGCCCAAGTCCTTCAGCACCAGAAGCCCTGTAGCAATTCCATCAAAGAGAGACAGCACTGAGATGGGCTTCCTCTTCTCAGCTGGGAAAGGTGGGTAAACCTTTGGAGGGTTAAATACCTGGTCGTGGTTATTGGCAAAGAACATCTGGAGCTGGGAGGGCCAGTCGTCTCACTGCTGCAGCAGCCCGTAGGTGCCCTTGTGCCCACACATGTAGCAGTTCCAGGGGTCTTCCTTAATGGCTGCCTGGGCAGCCCCAGCCCCACCAAGAGGTCCACACATTCCCCACAAAAGCACCTGCAGCAGTTGTTCCCGCACATGAGCACCTCTCGGCCCCCAGAGCAGATGGTGCAGTAGGACTGATAGCCATCATCGTTGTACCGGTATGCACACTCCAGAAAGCAGTTCTTGCAGTTTTGACACATTCCTCCAATGAAGAGGGGGTGTTTCAGGGTGATGTTGAGGCTCCCACAGGAGATGCAGATGTCCTCGATGTTCCAGAACTTCTGCCACACCTCGTACACCAGCCGCTCTCTTGTGTGCTCATCGATGATCTCTCTGACCTTGGGCTTCTCCGTTGTGCTCTCCCAGGGCTTTTTGGTTGGTGGAGGTGGTGCGTAGGCAGCTGCCTCAGGTTCCACCCACATGTGCATATACACTTCTCTGTAGGGCTTCTTTTCCTCTTCTGGTGGCTCCAGGCCCTTGGGACCAGAGGGCTGGAAGCTCCCCAGAGCCCATTCAGTCATCTGCTTGTTCTGCACCTCCATGGCCTTGGTAGTGTCACTCTTGTTGCTGTCGTGGCACACTGGGAACAGCTTCTCCTCATGGCTGGTGGCCACCTGCAGGACCTCAAAGATGGCTTTGCTGTACATGGGCTGCTTGTTGTACGTGGCCTGGTGGAACGCACTGCAAAATGAGCTCAGCGGCATCAGCTTCTCAACACACACCACTGAAAACTTGTCGTCTCCGAACCACATGACCCAGCGGGTGTCTTCAGCTGCTGGGCTCCGTCCCGTCATCCACCAAGACACAATGCGGCAGCCACCAGGAGAAGCCCTGCAGTTTTCCCCACACCAGCTTCCCAATGCCAAAGCCCAGGCCGTCCTCACACTCCGGCTCATCATCGCCTGCTTTGGTGGCATTCTTGTCCCCAGCATTGGCCCCCAAGGGCTCCAGTGTGGTGGCCACAGTGGGGGATGCAGGGTCAGTGGGCTGCTGCACAGCAGGAGGGTTGGACTCCTCCACCTTCTGAGACTCCCGGGAGCCCTGGTTTTCTTTCACGGCATCCATTACTGCAATGACCTTGGCTTTCTTCTCAGCCGGTAGGGCCAGGTGCATCCCCTCTGCTGTAGTGCTCAGGTGTGAGCCCCGGCCCTGAAGCTCTGGAAGTAACTGTACGGCTCTTATCTCTTTAATTAATTAAATTTACAACTGTGTTTATTGAATACTTCTCAGGGTTATATATCATATTTGACTCTGGAGATAAAATCTTGGGCAAGATAAAATAAATTCCTGCCTTCGTGGAGATTATCTAGAGTAAATATTGGTGTGCAATGAATAATTAATGTATAATTTTGCAATGTTTATTCTTTTTGTTTCCATTTTATGTTTTACTTCATAGGACTGAAATTAATTGGCATTTTATCTCATTTTAACCTCAGTGTCTTTATTAAGTATAGAAGCATCTACTGTTTTGGAGTAGATGTTATCTGTCATATAAAGAAAAATAATCTTATTTCCTGTTTAAGATTTTGTTTTATCTTACAAGAGTTATGCATTCAATTTTAACAATGTTTTGGTACTGGGGTCCTCATGTGGCTTTATCCTTTCTTACTAGAGTATTTTATGTATAATAATAATAACTTTCCAAGTGTTGAGTTGTCTTTAAATTAACATGAGGCTAATCTAGTAATTTAATTTACTCTTATAATTTGTTCCCTGTACATTCTTTAGGATTTGTATATCTAAAATTTGTTGCCTGTTCCCCAAGTCTTCTTGTGGAAATAGAAGCCTCATGACGGCAGGGATTTTTTTTTTTGGTTTGTGTTGTATATGATAATATTCCTGGTGCTTGTAATAGTACCTGGCACATAGTAAGTGATCAAAACGTATAACTGAATGATATCAGTTGGGTCTGTATTTTTCTCTATTGTTTTTCAGTTCTCACATTAACTTTATATAATTAATTTAAGAATTTGTTGGTTTGATTTATATGTTATGAGTTATACAGCATGGAACTTTGGAATTTGATTTCTGTAATCAAAAAATAATTTAAGAGTGGTGCAGCTTTTATGTACACAAAAATAATTTGCTAAAAAGTCATTTTTGGTGGTGGAGTTGGTACAGGGGTTGTGTGCCGAGGATAACTAATTTTCTTCTACACTTTCTATTAATAATTTAATTGAATTTTCTATTTATATTCAAATTGGTAATTTCCATTTTTTAGAAACAATTTTCTGTTTACTAGAGATTTCTAATTTCTTTGTATACAATTTTGCATAATATTCCATGAATTATTGTAACAGCCTTCACCGTGTTTGGCCTATCCCTTTTTAATTTCCAATTTCTTGTTTGCTGTTTTCCTCACTTTAATTTTTTTATCATAGTTTGAGGATCCTGGATTTCTTGCAAAATATCTTAGGTAACGTGTTTTTTTTTCGTCGGAGACCTTTGTTCTGAGTTGTTTCTTTCTGAGACAGAGTTTCTTTCTGACATGCAGGCTGGAGTGCAGTGGTGCAATGTCAGCTCACTGCAGCATGGAATTCCTGGGCTCAAGGGATCCTCCCATCTCTGCCTTCTGTGTAGTTAGGACGGCAGGCACACACCATCATGCCTGGCTATTTTTTAATTTTTTTTTTTGTAGAGATGTGTGTCTTGCTATGTTGCTCAGGCTGGTCTCAAACTCCTGGGCTCAAGTGATACCACCTCAGCCTCCCAAAGTGCTGGGATTACAGGCGTGAGCCATGGTGCCTGGCTCTTAAGTAAAGTTTTATATTCACATTCTTAAAATTATTAAATCCAATTTTTAATTTGTTCTCCCTTGAAAAAAAATTAAAAGTTGTTAACCACAGAACCTCATAATGACTTACCTCTATCTTACCCTTCCTGTCTTTTGTGCTATGTTGCAGCATATGTTTTGTTTCATTGTAAGCTACAAAACTCATAATACATTGTCATTATTTTTGGTTTGAATATCCAATTACATTTTAAGAAATTTAAAAGTGAGGCTTTTTAATAAAGTGGATTCATCCAGGAAATGTAGTTTGGGGTTATGTAAAAAAAGCTAGGAACGAGTCTCACTTTAATGACAAGACTCATTTGGTGGATGTCTTCAAAATTTTAGAGTTTTTTTGTTTTATGTCAAAGAGAAAATCTTTGTAGTAACACAGCAGAATTAAATCTGTAAAAATGAATGAGAAAACATATTCATTTGTTAATAAGGATTACAATTTCTAACAATGTGATGTATATAAAAATGGAATGGACTGCCTTATGTAGCGGTCCCTTCCTCATGACACAAAATTGAAAGGAGGCTGCGGAGTGCATGCATGTGGTCCCGAGTTAGAGATGGCAATGTCTGCTTGAGCTGAGAAGTGACGTGCTGGAAAACCTCAACTAGAAAATCTTCTCTAAAATCAGATCTATGAACCTTCATCTGTTTGGGGAGTTATAACAAAATACCATAACCTAGGGAGTTTAAAACAACAGAGCTTCATTTCTCTGGAGGCTGGGAAGTTCTGGTGGCTGGGAAGTTCGAGATCCAGCTGCTGGCAGATTCAGTGTCTGGTGAGGGCTGTTTCCCCGTACTTAGATGACACCTTCTTGGTGAATCCTCAGGTGATAGAAAGGGGGAAAGCCACTCTCCAGGGCTTCTTTTGTAAGGGCACTGACCCCCTGATCCCGCTCGAGAGGGCTCTACCCTCATGACTTATCACCTCCCAATGGTTCCACTTTCTGATAGCATCATTTGGCAGGGGATGCATATGAATTTTGGTGCAGACACAAACATTCAGACAATAGCACCATGATTTTTGGGCTCCTGTGAAACTAGGAGGAAGTTGTAGGAGTTTGAACCACAGGCTTCAGTTTAATTTGTCTTAAAGGATTAAGAACATTATTTTTGGAATCCAATAGAATGTGTAAATATTTAAGTATAAGATTTCCAGGCAAAACTATGGATAAAGATAAGGTCAGATCACGTGACGTTGTTGTAGATTGAGTTGGCAGTGTTTTATGACTTTCTTTGAACTATTTGGCAGCTTCAGCGTGAGCATGGATGCTGCAAGGGGCTGGTTGGTAGGGTCCCAGAGTTGGTGATTGTGATAGTAATGAGAACAGAAATTCAAGGGACTGATTAAGGTACAAGTAGAAGCAAAATTAGAAGGGCCAAGAATGGAGTCCAGACTGAGTAGACAGGCTAGTAAATGTCAGTGGATTGGGAAGATGGAGGGACTAGTGGTAACTCATGATGGCAGAGTGAGGAGAGGGAGCTGGGCGACGTGTAGGAACACAGGGTGTGGGGAGTTCTCATTTAATGGGAGTTAGCAGTTTCAGTACTTACTTGTTGAACATTTTTAGTGCTTCCTCTGTGTCAGTACTTCTTTACTAAACCTCAGTCTACATTGGTCACAGGAGGAAATGGAAGATTTTATTTTTAGAAAGTTCTAGATTCTATTTCCAGAAAGTTCTAGAAGGGGGAATGTTTGAACTGGCAGTTGATTTTATCAAAACTTGGGCCAGAGGAACAGAGAAACCACAAGAATGGGACCTGGAAGACACTGTGAGAATGGGAGAGTAGAATTCAGAGTTGGTGAATGAGGAGGGGTGCTCTGAGTTACACAGGGGGTGGTGATGTGACAGCTGGACTTTACAGTTCCCTTCTAAGCAACTCAAGGCTTCTGAATTTTATTTACCTTTCTAAATTGACACTTGGTGTTTCTGAGTCTTAGCCCCATCCTGATGATGGTATATACAGCGAGCTCTTTTGACTTGTGGGGTGGTATCTGGTGCACCCTGGAGCTACACAGTGAGCACTTGGTAGTCTCTGTCTTGGGAGAATGCAGGCTATGGAGGGCATGGGCCTGTTTTCTCTGCGATCAGTGTACTTCAGATCTCGGGAATAAGGCTCCTAGATCTTTTGTATTTACAAATATCAATGTGATTAACTAGACACCTCACAGACATCTGTGCAGGTAAAATGGCTGCATAGAACAAGCACTCCAACATCACTCTACTTGAAATTTAAATTTAATAGGGCTTCCATTGTAATTATATTTTTTGAGGCTATTAAAGTAATTAAGAATAAGTTGTTTTGACAAATAGGGAAATTCAGTGACCACGTATTGGGCCAAGTAGAAAAGGATCTGGTCCCAGATTATCTGATCTTGATTCTATGGTATTCTTTGGTGAATTGAGAGTAATCATTAAAATGGTGTTTGGGCTGGGCGCAGGTGGCTCACGCCAGTAATCCCAGCACTTTGGGTCGCCAGAGCGGGCGGATCACCTGAGGTCAGGTGTTTGAGACCAGCCTGGCCAACATGGTGAAACCCTGTCTCTAACAAAAGTACAAAAATTAGCCAGGTGTGGTGGTGCATGCCTTTAATCCCAGCTACTCAGGAGGCTGAGGCTGGAGAATTTATTGAACCTGGGATGCAGAGGTTGCAGTGAGCTGAGATCATGCCATTGCACCCCAGCCTGGGTGACAAGAGCAAAACTCCATTTCTAAAGAAAATAAATAAATAAAATGGAGTTTGAAAGTAAATGTTCCGGGTTCCATAATTTAAGATCAGTTCCTGATTAGAAGTTAGTAAGAAACACTCAGCCTAAGACAGAGAGGCACAAGCCAGTGTCTGATACATGTAGTTCATGTGCTAGAAAGAAAATCTCCAAAATGGAAACTCAATGGAGAAATTAATAAATGGCTTTGGGTTCTGAAACTGGTACCGATCATAACTCCACCAATCCTTCCCAGCAAATTTTGGCTAATCACACACATTTTCTGGGCACGAGATTTTGGTAGATCTTGAATATTTAGGTCTTGATGATTTGGTAAAATCCATGGGGTGGGTGATTAATTTTCACAAATCTAGTTATCTTCCCCATTTTTCCCTTTTCTTCCTGCCTATGTGCAGTGCTGATGAAGGACATGTGGGAAATGGTCAAGCTCAGGTTCTCCCTCAACTTCTGTATGTTTCATGGTGGCACCAACTTTGGTTTCATGGTGGCACCAACTTTGGCTTCATGGGCGGAGCTGCACCTCTGAACACTTACGCCCCTCACCAGCTATGGCAATACTCGCCCCCCAGAGTTGCCTCCAGCCTAGGCCACCCCACCGTTTGAGACTGGAGCTTCTTAGGATAGGCTTCAGAAGACACTCTCTGGAACTGTTCATCTGTTTTGCGTTTAACTTATGCTGGAGATTGAGGATTTGGCCTTTGTTTCTTTTGACAGTAGTAAAATTTACCTGCCACTAGAATCTCGGCTTTCTGGGGCTTTCAGAGACATCAGCAACTTCGTCTTGTCCATCTTCTGTGCAGACCCCTTTTAGAAGTTCCCTACAGAAGCAGTTACTTTGGATCTGCCAATAGCACCAGGATATTGATGAACGTGTCTTTTTCAGCCTGCAAGTCTACTAAGAGACTGAGAAGTTAAGGGCAAAAGAAGGAAGCTCAGTTAGAAATGGAAGGGCAGGGAGACACGGCTGCATTAGAGCGCCTTGGGCTCCCAGCTGGCTTATTAGATACCCATGGATTGGTGCTGTCTGCCTCCTGGTGGAAGCCCTGAAAAGCTTGGCTGCTTGGTTGGTCTAACTGGGATGCGGCATTTTCTTATCTACTGCCGGAAGCTTTTCTCCCAGAGTTGCTGTATTAAGCTGCTTTTGCTCTGTACTAAGCTCTGATTTCTTTCTGCGGAAATAAGCTGAATGAAGCTGGGCTTCCTTGGGGGAAAATGACACATTTCTTTCTCCTTTTCAGGCTATGAGGCTCTTCTGACAGGATGGAGAGTATACACCCGAGTATCTCACATTTCAAGAGTTTTTTAGCCCAGTCAAAGGTACCTGCCACAACCTCAGGCTAAATGATAAGTTAGCCTTCTCAGGTGGTCTCTGTCCTGTGAAGCAGAGAGTGAGGGAATGCATGGAGGTCTTTTGGGAATGTCCGTTGGCTTCAGTTTATTTTAATTTTTTTATTTTTTTGAGATGGAGTTTCACTCTTATTACCCAGGCTGGAGTGCAATGGCGCGATCTTGGCTCACCGCAACCTCCGCCTCCTGGGTTCAGGCAATTCTCCTACCTCAGCCTCCCGAGTAGCTGGGACTACAGGCATGCGCCACCATGCCCAGCTAATTTTTTGTATTTTTAGGAGAGACGGGGTTTCACCTTGTTGACCAGGATGGTCTCGATCTCTTGACCTCGTGATCCACCCGCCTTGGCCTCCCAAAGTGGGTTCACTTTATTTTATCATTAGGCACTTGAGATATGGGGTTTGCTCTCTTGGTGATCGATAACAGGGCCATGATGCTCAGACTTGATTGTGTATTAGAATCCTCTGTGGAACTTTGAAGATTCAGAGGTTCCAGGACCTTTCTAGAGCTATTAGATGAGTATGTCCTGGTCGAAATGGGAAGGAAGGGATGGAATCTGAGCATATGTATTTTCTCATTGGGCCTTAGGAGATTCTGATGAGCAGCCGAGGTTGAGAGCACTGGTTCTGTGGGTGGGGCTGAGGTCTCCTTTTTTCCAAGACAGCAGAGTACCCTGCCTCAGAGCCTGTGGCTATGAGAGGAGTCCTGCTCACTCACTGCCTGCCTCATGACCCTTCCTGGAATTAAGAAGTCATGCCCTGCAACTGGGTGCTTTATTCCTGTGGCTTTGGGATAGCGAGGTGCCCTTGACTGGTTTTGGGGAAAATCTTGGAATGGCCCAACTACCTGCTTTTCATTGCAGAGGTCCCCACGGCCCTCCAGCCAGAAACTCCACCAAAGGCTATGCATAAGACAGTGAGCAATACAATTATACTTCATGTCACTGTGGGACGTCCTGCCCTACCTGGACTTGATGAGCATTTCCAAGACACGGATATACGGGATTGTCTTTGAACAAAAGAGAGGGAGGAGAGGAAGGATTAGCTCAAAAAACAAATTATTCCCCAAATTATTGGGAAACAAAAAATCCTTAGCAATTTTAATTCCTTCTCCTAATTTTACAATTCAGAATAATAATTCAGATTAGAAATTTGAGTTTGGGCTGGGTATGGTGGCCCATGCCTGCAATCCCAGCACTTGAGGCTGGGGCAGGCGGATAACTTGAGGTCAGACACTTGAGACCAGCCTGGCCAACATGGTGAAACCCCTACTAAGAACACAAAAATTAAGACGGGTGCGGTGGCTCACGCCTGTAATCCCCAGCACTTTGGGAGGCTGAGGCAGGCGGATTGCCTGAGGTTGATCGTTCGAGACCAGCCTGACCAACATGGAGGAACCTGGTCTCTACTAAAAATACAAAATTAGCTGGTCATGGTGGCACATGCCTGTAATCCCAGATACTCGGGTGGCTGAGGCAGGAGAATCACTTGAATCTGGGAGGTAGAGGTTGTAGTGAGCCAAGATCCTGCCATTGCACTCCAGTCTGGGCAACAAGAACAAAACTTTGCCTCAAAAAAAACCCAAAAAACAGAAATTAGCCAGGAATGGTGGCATGCACCTGTAATCCCAGCTACTTGGGAGGCTGAGGCAAGAGAATCACTTGAACCCAGGAAGTGGAGGTTGCAGTGAGCTGAGATTATGCCACTGCACTCCAGCCTGGACAACAGAGTGAGACCCTGTCTCAAAAAAAATTGAATTTGAAGAAATGATATGAACATTGCAGGATACTGGGAAGTATCCTAGCTAATAACCTGCGCACTGGGGAACTACAGTTAGGATTGGAGCAGAATCCTCTTCCTGACCTAGCTGGGAAGAGATCCCTGCTTTCTGAAAAAAAGCAGGGGAACTGTTGTTCTTCTGTCACTCTGGTTAGAGTGAAGGCACCTTGACTAGATATAGGGCAATGATTTTCAAGGTTCTGATTTAGTAGAGGGACTCTTTCTCCAAACTTACTGCAAAATTCAGTATATGAGACATACACTGGATAAATTGGGGGTGTTAGTTCTGTAGCTCCTCCATGAGGGTCAGCTGTCCCTTCTCTAGGTTGGTTACTGGGCCACATCCTACTTGCCCCTAGGCTTCTGAGGAACACAGTTTGAAAACCACTGGCCTAGGGAAAAAGCATGTACTTACTTATATAACATTTACTGAATATTACTGTTTGGGGAACTGTATTATCAGGATGTTGTTTTAGGCCCTCCCAAGTCTAATGGGTAAGAAAGGCAAATAAAGGAGAGACAGGAAGGTCTCGGGTCCTGTGGCAGAGGAGTAAAGGCCACACAGCACTGTCAAGGGGACACAGTGCTGTGCAGGGAGCAGAGGCTCTGGAGCCAGGCTGCCGGGGTTCAAATCTTTTTTCCTGTCTTAGCCAGCTGTGAGACCTGAGGGGATCATTTAACCTCCCTCTGTCTAAGTCTCCTCATTGTCAAGGTGAGGAGAATAATTGCACCCGCCTCATGGCATTGCAGTGAATTAAACAGTGGCGCAGAGTGAGAGTTGGATATGTGTCAGCTGCTGTTGGCGTCACTGTAGAATGCTGGACAGTTGCAGGATGCAACATGACGTTTCAGTTGAGGTGATTTTGAGAGCTGCAGGATGAGTGGGAGCTACTGGATGACAGCAGGGAGGCGTGGGAGAGGGAAAGGCATGAGGGGAGCTGCAGGGGCCCAACTGTGAAGATGTGGAGGAAGCTGCACATTGGGGAACTACAGTTAGGATGGGAGTGGAAGGTCTTTGAGGGAGAGTGTTGGGAAGGAAGCTGGCCGCACAGATGGGGGGCCTTTGTGGTTGTGCTTTTAGCTTTTCCTTATGGAATTTTAAAAAGCAGTGAGAATAGTAGTGAACCCATATGAGCTCAGAACCCAGCTTCCACTTGATCAGTACATGGTTAGCCTTGTTTAATCTGCACCCCACTCTTCCCTCCTTGCCCTTTATTTTAAAGCAAGCCCTAGACATCATATACTCTTAGTGGTAAATTCTTCACTATGATCTTGAAAGATAAGGATTGATCTTTGCTGGGAAGTATTTGGCAGCTTGCTGTCTGGAAGAAAAAACTCTGATGAGCATCGTTTGCCAATTTCTGAGGGTAAATCCTCTGAACATAGGGAATTTCAAGCTACTAACATGATGATGGTGAAACAGCTGGGAAGAGATGTGTGCCATTGGCTCTGATGAACTAGCACAGGTACCTCTAGCATAGCACTGCTTAAAATTATAAAATATACAGTGTCGGCATGACTCTCATAGCTTTGATATCTTCTTTGTTTTTGGTTCCTTACTGTGTTTCAGGCTCTATAGGCATCTGTTTCTCCAACGAGTTCCAAAGGGCCATGCATGTTTTTATGCTAAGAAGCTTGAACATTCCCTGAAAGTTGTGGGTAGTTTTTTTTTTTTTTCCTTGAAACAGGGTCTCGCTCTGTCACCAGGCTGGAGTAAAGTCATGTGATCTCGGCTCACTGCAGCTTTCACCTTCTGGGTTCAAGGGATTCTCCTGCCTCAGCGCCTGGCTGGAAGTTACTTTAAAGCAGGGCCAGGAGCTGGGTGGCCAGCGCTGCATTTCAGAAAGGTTTCTTTGCTGGTTTTGGGGCGGTGCTAGAACACCAAAGCCCAATCGAAGTCTACTGAACTTGAACTTAGGGAGTAGGAATGAAGAAAGAGGATTAGTGAAACAGACACTAGAGTCAGACTGCGCAGGAAGTGATGACTGGTTTATGTAGGATGCTGGGGGAGGGAAAGGGAGGGAGAAGACATTGTTCTTGCTTCTGTCTTTTTGACTAGTTGGAGGGTGTTGCTCTTTTTAAAGGAAAGATGGATGGGGAAGTGTTGTTGTAAATGCAGTTCAGTGATACTTCCTTGGGACTGCATATGGACCCCCTGGACAAGAACTCCAGTAGAGGAGAAACAGACATGTGTACTTCAGTGCAGTGGTAGATAAGCAGATTTATGAATAATTCCAGCTGGTTAGACCATGGGCTAGCTGATTTCTCTTAGGTAGTGTAGAAAGAAGAAGAGAAGGCTGGGACACATAGCTCTGGCGTACCTGGGTTGGGATTCCTGCACCCAGGAGTCTAACCCAGACTCTACTGTGGACTGATGAGCAAGGCCCACAAATCACTCCCTTTTCTTGATGTCAGCTTTTGCATTAAAAAATCATAATACCTAGCTAGCAGATTCAGAATGTGAGGTTGGTTTGGAAAACAAAAAGGGCAGTTTCCATGCCATGCTTAAGAACGATTACTGTTGAGTGTTCCTCTTTTAGGCTCCTGTTTGTGATGGTCTTGGGGCCATTCTTTTGGAGAAATGGGTTTTGGGTGGGGGTTTATGCGATCCTCTGTGCAGCCTGGTGTTTGCACCTGTTTCTGCCACAGCTGGTCCAGTCTACCAAGCTGCTGTCCATGGAGAGGCTGTCTGTGAACCAAGAGAGCGGTGAGTCCTCTGGGCACACACTATGGGGCCTACATCTCCAGTGGAGCCTCCTTTCCTCAAGGGGTCATGTTTGAGATTGGGGGCAGGTAGGAGATGATGAAGAGGCCTCACAGGGCACTTGTCTGTTGTCATAGACCAGCTGTGATGCTGGGATGGATGTCTAAACAACGGTCAGAACTTTTCGATTCTCAAAAAAGTGATGAGTTTCTTGACATTTGTCTCTCCAGTGCAGTCTTTCATATGAATGCCCACCACACCTTTAGGGAGCTGATGGTGTGTTTTTAAGGAGATCTTGGAAGAGCATAAATTCCCTATACTTATTACACATCAATCCCTAATATTTATAAGTTACATATATTGCAGTTGGCTCTTCTCTCTTAAAATACCTGAGATATTATGCCCAGCAAGGAAATGTCAGAGGAGTCAAATGAAATTCAGCTAGGGAGTCGCAGAGCCGAGGCTGAAGGTTTCATCTCACTCCAGGTTCAGAGCTGTTTTCTCTCACTATGCTCCCTAGATCATCTTCCTCCAAGGCTTCAAGGCCTTCTTTGTGTGCATGTGACTCCAGCCCCCACTCCTCTCCTTAGCAGCAGACCCGTATTTCCTGCTGTTTGCTGGACATTTATCTTCAGGTAGTGTATGCACACGGCATAGGCTTCCAAACTCCTCATGCCGTCAGCTCCTAAGTCAGCTCACACTGGTTCATGAACTCACAGCCCTCCATCCTGAAAATACTGCTCCTGTGGTCTCCTTCCTCTTTCTTCGTTTCTTCTCTTCAACTGGCCCCTGTCTGGTGCCATATTGCTCGATTCGTCTTTTAAAATTCATGCTGCTGTTGTCTCCGTCTCGCCTTGGTGTCTTCTGTTGTGACCGCCACAGCTGAACTTCCTGTTCTAGGCCATGCACCTTCACCCTGTGGTTCTTCTCTTTCGTGCTGGTTGCCTCCCTCATACACCATTAGGGTTTCTTCCTGAGGCAGCAGGCTCGCCAGGCCGCTTCTCTCCATTCAACCCTCCATTGCTCTCGCTGGCCACCTGTGCCCATGCCTGGGAAGCAGCCAGGCTCCATGTTTGGACGGGACTCAACATTGCTTTCTTGGTGCTTCCTGGCAGCCTGTCCACAGCTGTATGGCACCTGCTGCTGTGTGTGCTCACCGTGCCTGTGAAACTCTCCGAGTTCCTCAATGGTCAGTGTTATGTTTTCACTAAGCGATGCTTCCCCAGGGAAATACTGAGTCATGCAGTAGGTATCCCATAAACAATCATGTAGTTAGACTCTAGTAAGCTAAAACTGTGAATTCTGTGTTGTGTGTAGCAGCAGTCCCCAACCTTGTTGGCACCAGGGATCAGTTTTGTGGAAGGCAAGTTTTCCACAGTGGTGGGGGATGGTTTCGGGATGAAACTGTTCCACCTCGGATCATCAGGTATTAGATTCTCACACGGAGCTTGCAACCTAGGTCCCTCACATGTGCAGTTCACAATAGGGTTGGCGCTCCTGCGAGAATCTAGTGCCTTGCTGATCTGACAGTAGGCAGAGCTCAGGTGGTAATGCTGGCTTGCCTGCTGCTCACCTCTGGCCATGTAGCCCTGTTCCTAACAGCCTATGGAAGGGTACTGGGGGGTCCCTCTAAATAATATAAACATTTATATGTTTTTAACATGTAAATTAACATTTCTGGAATATACATATATATATATATATATATATACACACACATATATATTTTAATCCAAACCCACAATCCAGTTGTTACAGTTATAGAGTCAAATTTGATTTGAAAAATTGTGATTTACCTTCAACAATCTAAGAAGCAAATTATTTATCCTTATCTAGTGTTACATGGCCCAAGTGGAGTCTTCTGGGTGGCTCCATCTGGGGCTGAAGCAGTCCTGTAGGGAATAGAAAAGAACGGGTTTACATTTAGATCACCCCCAAACCAGACAGGGTGGTGGCAGCAGCCTTTCCAATAAGAATAGGAAGCCAGGCATGGTGCAGTCTCCACACTTTGGGAGGGCCAAGGCAGGAGCATTGCTTGAGCCCAAGGGTTTGAGACCAGCCTGAGCAACATAGGGAGACCCTGTCTCTATAAATGAGGAAAAGAATTAGCCGGGCGTGGTGGAGTGCACCCGTGGTCCCAGCTACTTGAGAGGCTGAAGCAAGAGGATCACTTGAGCCCAGGAGGTCAAGGCTGTAGTTAGCTGTGATTGAGTCCACTGTACTTCAGCCTGGGCTATCGCCCTGTTTAAAAAAAAAAAAAAAGAGTTAATCAAGCCTGCAAAAATGGGATCTGTGGTAGAGAGGAACCCAGGTGGCAAGGCGGGAAGACACAGAAACAGCTGCCATTTCTACATCTCCATGCCTTTGCTTTTATCACCATTTCTTTACAATATCTGTTCATCCTCCACCTTTCTTTACTCCATCATTTCCTGCAGGTGTTTGAAATTTCCTCTCCTTGCCCTGCAGTGGAGCTGGGGCCCGGTTCATCCTGGCTGCACTTCCTCAGCCTTCTCCTTCTGCAGGGCAAAACTGTGCCCCTTGAACTCCAGCTGGATTTTGTGAGCTCACGGTCAGCTGGCTTATGCTGGGAGTCAAAGAGTTTATTATTCCCCTCGATTTGCCATTTTCTTTGCTTCTCTAAGGCCCCTGTCCCCCCTTTCTTAATGAGGACCTAATAGCTCTGCCTTCTTTCTTTGGCAGGTGTTTCTGAAAGAGAAGTCTATGGGAGTCCTGGATCATGTCACCCATCAGCTATTAAGAAAAATGTATCCAACCCAGTGAGGAACAAGTTCTAGCCCTGCCAGGCCCTGTGTGAGATATGGGCGCAGCCTGGCCCTGGGTAGCCCTGCCAGGCCCTGTGTGGGTTGAGGGCGTGGCCTGGCCCTGGGTAGCCCATTTGTTCCTCCCCGCCCTTTAGCTTGCTCCTCACAGAAGAGCCCAACTCAGAGGAGGGAGAGTTCTGTGGGTTTCTGAGATACAGGCGTGTGTGCCATGGGTAAGCAGAGCTTTTACATCCTGAGTATTTGCTGCTCAAAAAACTCTGAATTGGCCTCCTGCCCCAGAGCAGTCTCTGATAAAATGTACCAGGGATTCTTTCTTTTCCTGAAAGGCCTGGCCTGGGAGGGTGGGTGGATGGGTGGGGAGAGCGGGAGCCAGGGGTTTGCTTGACTCGGTGCTGGGGGTCTGTAGGGCCCTGAGGCCTGCTGCCTGCCAGTCCTGCAGCTGTGCCCTTGTTGTGTCGGGAGACCCAGAGGAGTACAGAAGAGTGCCTGATGGTGCCCATTCTGGCTGTTCTGTCCTGGGCAGGGCCACCAGGACAGTGGCACTCTAAGGTTCCTGGTAGAGAACTAAGGCCTACTCACCCCCGGGTGGGACATCAGCATGGAAAGAAAATGTGGGCTCCATTCGCTGCTGCTGTCACCCCAAGCTGAGGGCAGTGAGCACAGGAGTATGGTGTTGAAGAGGCCAGGGCCCCCAGCTCTGAGACACCCACATGTGAGGGAATATTGGGGCATCAGCTACCCGAAGTGGCACAGATATGTGAGTAGTGTCTTCCAGTGGAGGTGGCTAGAGAAGCCACTGAATAAGGAAATTGGGGACAGTCATCCACTAGTCCCCAGATATCCAGCCCGTGGCAGGGATATGGTGGGCAAGATAGATACCAGTATACATTTGTTCCACACCCAAAGTTCTACAGCGTGAGCTTAGAGGCATCTTACCCACCAGTGTGTTTTGATGAATACCTGATGGTAAAAGGGAATCCACAGTCTCTGTTGGATTGGGGCAGACACAGGGAGACTTGTTAGAAATCAGAGCCCTCTCCCATGAGGCCTGGGTGCCAAGCTAAGCCCAAGCCAGTGGCAGTACAGAGCTCCCTGGGGCACCTCCCATCCAGGGACCCAGTTGATTATCCATCCTGTTTAGATAGCTCTGGCTGAGACAGAAACAAAGGAGGGAAGATGTGCATTCTTGCAGGAACCCAAAGCAGCCTCCATCTTTGCATGATCTGATTTGGTGTGTTGGTGGTGTATGGTGTCTATATGTTGTATGTTGTGTGTGTGTGTGTGTGTGTAAAGACCCTTTTGTCTTTACATCTAGAACTCAGATCTTGAATCTGCCATTCCAGTCTTTTTCAGGGCTGGATGAAAGGAGTTGTGTTCATCAATGGACAAAACAGAGGCTGCTACTGGTCATTAGGTCCCCAGAAAACCCTATATCCAGACAGCACTATGGCTTCATTCTGCAACAAAAGAGGTGAACTCTGCCCATGGCACCTATGCCCCAGTCCACCCAGAGGCAGAACTTGAATCTAACAGTCGTCCCACCTTGTCCTTGACAGATCATTGTGTTTGAGGAAGTAGAAGCTGGTCTCTAGCTGATCCAGTTCACAGAACAGCCTCATTTGGGTATGGCATTCTGAAGGGTCTTTTGTGGCATCTGGATGACCTTCTGGATGTTTCTAGCTGAGACAGGAATAAAGGAGGCAGGATGTGTGCTCTCGCAGAGCTCTGAAGTGGCCTCCCTCCTTGCCTGATGGATGGGTTCTCTTGGGCCTGCACAGCACTGCTCACCTCCTTTCATTTTACTATGACCTAACTAGTGCACACCTCTAACACCCTGAGCCCGACTCTCTTGGCCCTTCTTCCACACATCTCCTGTCTCACTGTCAGCCCATTCCAGCCTTCACTCCAGGCCTTTCTGAAGCATACCCTGCTCCCACTGCTTTCTTTTGCTGCTGTGGAGGTAGCGCCAGGGCACTTTTTCTAGTACCTTTCCCCGGGCTTCCGCAGGTAGAGATGACTTAGACCAGTTATGTGAGGTTGCAGTGCGGCCGTCTGGTGCCTGCTGCAGTGGCTGCCCATGGTCTGTCCCTGCCTCCCCAGCTCCTTTTGTTAGCAGTGGGATCCAAACATGCTTTTGGGGAGTCACCCCACTTCAGTGAAACCTTTGTGGGCCTAATAACTGAGCTGCACTCCTGCCCCTGCCCCGCGTGGGGGTGTGGTACACAGGAGGCTAGTGGGACATTCTTTTGCAGGCTACAGAGCCTAGAGGGGTTGACATGCAGCAGAAAGCAGACAGAGCTGAGTCACTTCCACAGTGGTGACTGAGTAGCCTGGGTCACAGGATTTGCCCTGCGTTGGGCCTGCTTGCCACCCTGTAACCCATGGGGCATTTTTTGCTTGGTTTAAGCCCACCCAGTGCACACCCTTCGTTATATGGTGACAACAAAAAGTTTGGCCCCCAAATACAGTGTTGAAAACAGAAAGGAGATGCTCAGAATACCTGACTGTGCAAATGCATATCTGGAGCAAAGCGACCTTTCCAAGAAATCAAGTAAAATAGAAAAGCGAATGCAGGATATTATGGGTTTATAGATGCTACGTGTTTTCAGTGTTATAATTAAAAAAAAATGTTTCCTTTTTTCTTCCCCATAGTTTTCCATACCATTGGTTTTCCATAGTCAGGCAGAAACCCTGCTTCTCTGAGATTTAGGCCAACCCACTGTCCCTCTCCTCATCACCATTTGTACCTAACTCACAGCCTTGATGGTTCCCTGTTATTCTCCCAGTTTTCTTTTGGGTGGTACTGGTCTTTCTGAGCCATAGCAAAGGGCAGAGAGAGCCATCCCAGCCCCAGGGTGAGTCAGCTTGGTGGTACCGCATGGGAATGCAGAGGGAAGACTTATGGTATTTTTGGTGTTTTGGTTTTTTAAGCCATTACAAGTTCCCAGGTGGTAAAAATGCCCAGGGTTATCTAACGGGCTCTCTGGGGAGCTTGGGGGTGTGGGTCACCCTAGTAGCAAGCTAGCACTGCATGAGGGCTGCAAAGAGCCCATGCCAACACCTGAAGGAATCCAGCCAGACCTCAAGAGACTCCGTGAGCTCCCATGGAAGCCAGCATCAGGCCAGTTGCACAGGGTCTACCAGACCTGGTCAGCCCGGGCAGGATGGTGAGTGCGCCCCTACCAGACCCAGTCAGCCTGGACAGCATCGTGCGTGCGCCCCTTGCATCCTGCACTTGTGATGCCAGGATGCCACCCATGTGGACGAGGCCTTCCACAGCCCACGTAGGTCAGGGGGCAAGAGCTGCCTGCTCAGGTGTCTCCTTTGCTGCCCATCCCAAGCTCAGTCTCTCAGCTGCAGCCCACAGAAGAGGAAGAAGCACAGATGGCAGCTTGGCTCCATCCTTTCGTCTCTTCCTCCTGTTTTCCACCACCGTCCAGCATCAGAAAGTGTCAGGATTCCCCACGTCATGGCCTCTTACTTCCATAAACTTGAGGCACGTTGCAGCACCTGGCGGGCTTGCCCAAGCAAAGGTGGCTGGGCCCTCCTGGAATTGCTGGCAGGCGGGTCTGGGGTGAGGCTTGGGGGTGTGCATTTCTAGTGGGGTTCCAGGTGGCGCTCCCAGTGCTGCTCTAGGACCCCACTCTGAAGACCTTTGCCATCAGCAGAGTCTTACCCGCAGCACTCACAGTGTTTGGGGCCGGCCGTTCTCTATGGTGGGGACTATGCTGTGCATTGCTGGATGTTTAGCAGCATCCTCTGGGCTTACCCACTAGATGCCAGGGGCACACCCTCCACTCCTAGTTGTGACAGACAAAAATGTCTGCAGAAACCACTCAATGTTCTCTGGGGATGAGAATGCCTTCAGGTGAAAGCTCTTCTGTGGAGCCGTCAGCTCTCCCAGGCAGAAGGTTGTGTTTCTGACTCTCCAGCAGAGCACTAGAGCTGGGCCTCATGGATCAGTCTTTATAAATGAAAAAACAAAGATGAACCTGTTTCTTCTGCACAATCCTATTTCTGAATATAGAAACAGCTTGTTCCTTATTTCTCCTGTTCTGCTATTGAAACAAATGCTGATATTTCCATAGATAATGAATTCCTAGGGTAAATTGGGTTAAAAGCCATGTATGGGGGAGGCTAAAGAGAAAATGATTGTTACACTTTTACAGATTCTGCTCCCTTTACACCTATAAAAGGCAGGTACGCTGAGGGTGGTGTACAGATCCCATCTATCAAGGAGCAGCTCCTTGCTGGTGCCAGGTGCTTTCCCTATCTTCATGACCACTCGGTCCTTGGCAGTGTGCAGAGCTCTGGCCCATCAGGGACTCTCCTTTGTAGCAGGAGTGGTGGGGAACAAACCTCTCGAACACTGAACACAGAACTGAGGAAGTGGCTTTTTATTCAGCTGGAAGCCTCATTCACTGAGCTCCCCAAGCTGCAGCTTCTCTCCCCTTTTATAGGCTTACAAAGCTAAAGGGGAAACTGAGGCAGAACTATGTAATTGTCTGTTTGCTGGACATCCGACCTTACAATATTTTGGCTTCATTGATTTGCTAATTCATATGCAGCGTGAGCTGGGGTCAGCAGGGGAGGGGGGCATGCAGAGACAAGACAAAAGCAATGAGCTGTTTGTTCGCCGAGGTGTTTCCAGGAGGCAGCCTGGTCCGTGGAGACATGGAGGCATGAACCAGTGCCAGGCTCCAGCCGGCAGAGCTAACAATCATTTGCAGCTCTTTCAAGGTTAACAGATAGCAGAGACTCTGGGAACTAAAGAGGGAGTCATTTTCCCAGCTCTTTGGTATTTTATTTCATTTTTTTTTCCTTCACCCTCCTTACCATCTGGAAGAGGAGAGGGAGGAGGTGAAATTGAAGGAGGTAAGGGGGTTCTTCCCTCTCACCCCCACCTTGAGAATCTCACCTCTCTCTCTCTCTTTTTTTTTTTTTTTTTTTTTTTTTTTTTTTTGAGAATTCTCACTCTTACCTTTAGCATTTCTGTCGGGGTTTTTTGGTGAGACAGATTGGTAGTGGTTCATGTTATAGGCCTGTGATGACGTTTTTTCTTGAACCACGGCAGTAATGAATCCTTTTATCTTTTGAAGGAGCAAGGACATTAAATCAGGGAAGAAATATGCATGCCCTATTATCAGTAACACACTTATGATAATGGTCTTGAGCCCTCCTGTAGCAGGAAACCAGTTCCCAAACACTGAGTCAGGGTTGAACCCATGCCAGGCCTGTACAGGTACATGCACCAGTTTTGTCATGTCCCTTACAATAGTTTCAGCCACCTGACCCTGGTCATCTATTTGCAGGCCACAGTTGGTTAAGTTGAATTTTCCACATACCCCTCCTTCAGCTGCCAGTAAGTAATATAAAGCCAGTCTATTCTGGTAGATGGCATTCCTCATTTTGGTCTCCTGCCATGCCAGGGTGGTTAGAGCTTGGCCAGTTTTGTTGGTCAGGATTTTTAGGACAGCTTGAAATTGAATAATTCGATTAAGCATGTAGATTGGAGTATGATAGCCCCATGAGCTGTCCTCTGCCCATATGGCTGGCCCATAGGATCGTATTAATCTCTCAGGGGCCATTTATCATCTTTCCAGTCCCCTCCCCTGTAACGAGGCTTCTCTTGTCTCACTAGGAATTGACAGGAAAACCTAACAACTCTCCAGTTTTTATGGGTAATAGAAAGAGGGCTTGATGGTACCAAGGACACAACTGCCCATCCACTGGTTTGGCAGTTGGGTGTAGGCCCTGTGCCCACATATCCAGTACAAGCCAGGAGGCGCTACCCAGTCCTGGTGGAGTTCCAGGTGTGTCCAGGCAGCCTGTAAGGTGGGAAACTTCTGGAAAGGGTTGGTCTTGGTTCTATTTAAACTCCACTAAGTGACTGTTTTACTGGTTTCATTATATACCTTCTGTCCCAAACAGTTTAGCTTTCCCACCAGGACTGTCATACCCCTTCCTATTCTGGCCAGACAATATTGTCCAGTGATGGAGGTTTTTAAGATCCAGAAGCTGTTACTCAGTCCCTTGTGCACATAGGTCACATTAGGGACAGGGTTAGCAGGCACAAGCTCTCATGTTTCCCATGGTCACCGATCCCCTATATAGCTCCTTTTTACACATAACAGGAATGCACTTTTAAAGTCTTGGCTAACTGAAAGAACAAGTTTCTTTATTTCTCGGGGAGTTCTGGAACTGGTTCTTTCAATATATCATAATAAGTTTGAAACACTGGGTGAGTGATCACTGGTGCCAGGCCCTTTCCCCGTCTTCATGACCACTTGGTCCCAGGCAGTGTGCAGAGCTCCCAGCCCGTCAGGCAGTCTTCTCTAATCCAAGTTGCCCATGGGGAGAAGCTTTTAGGGGGGTGCATTATCCCTGACATGGTGCCGGTCGTGGTGCTTTATCCCCGGCACCCTGAGGTTAGTGCCTTTGGTGGAATGCCAGATCTAATTATGGAAGCCACGATTTTCTCTCCCCAAGTGTGTTGGAGAATGAATTGTTGTGTCTTTAGGGTTTATCACAGTGTTAGGCATATAGGAGATACAAATAAGGTAAATTTAGTTGCACTGCATCTTTCACCTAGATTCTGCCCAGAGTCTCAGTGGCAGTACTAAATGCCTGCTGTATCAGAAGTGCATTTTTATTTTTCCAGGGGAAGGCTGAAGAAGTTGGAGGCCAACAGAGAGCTCTGTCCTTTTCTCCTCCATCATACAGAGTTCCCTGAGTAACAAGAAAGCCTCCTAGGCCAGGTGAGGTGGCTCAGGTTCACGCCTGTAATCCCATTACTTTGAGAGACCAACACAGGCGGATCCGAGGTCAGGACGAGACCAGCTTGGCCAACATGGTGAAACCCCATCTCTACTAAAAAATACAAAAATTAGCCATGTGTGGTGGTGGACACCTGTAGTCCCACCCACTTGGGAGGCTGAGGCAGGAGAATTGCTTGAGCCCAGAAGGCGGAGGTTACAGTGAGCTGAGATCATGCCACTGTACTCCAGGGTGACAGAGCAAGACTCCATCTTGGAAAAAAAAAAGTGTCTTATCCTTTCAACCATGGAAACAGAAATTTGGGAAGAAAGTGGGGAACCTGAAACCTTTTTGTAACCTGTTAAAAGCTAGGTTGATTAGTCCATTTTCACACTGCTGTAAAGATACTACCAGAGACTGGGTAATTTATAAACAAAGGAGGTTTAATTGACTCAGTTCTGCATGGCTGCAGGAGGGCTCAGAAAACTTATAATCATGGTGAAAGGGGAAGCAGACACTTCTTCACAAGGCAGCTGGAGAGAGAGGAGTGAGTACAGGGGAAACTGCCATTTATGAAACCATAAGATCTCGTGAGACTTACTATCCTGAGAAGAGCATGGGGAAAACCACCCCCATTATCCAATCACCTCTCAACACGTCCCTCCTTTGACACGTTGGGATTATGGGGATTACAATTTGAGATGAGATTTGGGTGGGGACATAGAACCCAATGCTATGAGCTGGTTTCAAGGAGCCTTTCTCCTTTTTGAGTAAACTAAGTTTGTACAGAAAATGCAAGTTCTGCTCTTTTTTGACAAATGTGTAGGATGGAAGGTAATTCAGCACAGAGACCCAGACAGTCTTTAAGTCTGTATGCCCTCTGTGGACTTGCAGTCCTGTAGATGATACCTTAATCTTGATCTCCAAGGCAGGTGACACCACGTGGGGCAAATAGTAAGAGCCCTTTTCAGATCTTCTCTGCCACCTGAAGTCCAACCAATAGCTGACTCCCCATCCCCAACTTACTTCCTAACATTTGGATGAGCCAATGTCTCACTTGCTTTGATTAACTGGGAGAAGTAAGTCCTGAGTGGCAGCCCTCAACTCTAAAGAGACAACAAAAGTGAGCCAAGAGAAATGCATTCTGTAGCCAGGAACTGTAGATTCATAACCATGAGAACACCAGCCTCTGAGAACATTTCAGCAGCTGTTATCCAGTGACTGGGAGACAGGCCTTCCCTGGCTGTGCAGCAGTTATGAGAAGGAGGCCCCTCAGGGAGACAGGACAGGCTGCTGTGTCCTGCAGAGGCCAGGGTATGTCTGTGCCATGCAGGTCATCTGGCCCTTGTACTAAGAGTCCTTTGAGTAAGAGTCTGTTTAGTTAAAAGCAGTACCTTTATTGTTGTTTGTTAGACAAGTGTGGTTATTTTGCTGTAATGAAACTTACAAAAAGCAAATGTGAGCCCAGTTTTTCTGGAAAGAAATGATTAGGTCAACTCATATGCCAGGATCTGAGCCAAGCGAAGGAGCCCGTGCTGCCACTCAGTGCAGGGCAGCGTCAGCTCCCTGGAAGTATGAAACAGTGCAGGCAAGGCCTGCTTGAGCTGCATGGGCCTGGACCTCTGGATTTTTACCAGCTTCTCCAGGTGATGCTGTTAAGGACAGCATCATTGGTTCTCACCATCAAACCTGAGAACCATTGCTCTAGGGCACTGGTTTTAAAACTTGGCTGCAAGTTGGAGTGACCTGGGGGAGATTTATAAAGATAATGATGTCTAGGTCCCACCCATCCCCAAAGGATCAGATTAGAGTATTGGGTGGGGTATAGCCTGGATGTCGAATTTTTAAAAAGATTTTTTTTTTTTTGAGACAGGGTTTCACTCTGTCACCCAGCCTGGAGTGCAGTGGCATGATCACAGCTCACTGCAGCCTACCCAGACTCAGGTGATTCTCCCATCTTAGCCTCCCAAGTAGCTGAGACCATAGGTGTAAATGCCGCCATATCAGCTAATTTTTGTGTGTGTGTAGAGATGGGGTCTCGCTTTGTTGCCCAGACTGGTCTCAAACTCGGGCTTAATGGGTCTGCCTGCCTCAGCCTCCCAAAGCACTGGGATTATAGGTGTGAGCTACTGTGCATAGCCTTAACATTTTAAGTGTTTATTAATTCATTCAAAAATAATGACAGTAACCCACCACCTATTTTATGAAAAGCTAAAATGTATATTTTTTAAAAATCAGAAATATGTCATATTTTTGCACATGTCTAATTATCAGCCATGAGAGATGATAGCTGGATTCTCAGGTCTGCTTCAGCATTCAGTCTGTGGTGATTTTTTTTAATGCTTAGGTTATTTATTTAACAGAAATAAAGTTAATGCATAGCAACTTACTACCAACAGGAGCTGTTTTGTTCCTTCCTAATGGGTAGTCCAAGTTAGTAATGGAAAAAACAATAGGTAGGTCTCAGTTGAGATTTAATTGAACATGCATTTAGGTGTGAACTAATTTTCCCTTTAATGTTATTTTAAAATATTATTTTTTCACTTAAATATTTACTGAGTGATTGATTCTTTAGCATTGTTGAAGGACGTTATTTGAGCAAAGGTCTGATGGAACAAGGGAGGGAGCCAAATAGGTGCCTGGGGAAGAGCTGGCCATTGCTTTGATTGAAGCATATGAAGAAAATGCAGAGTCCTCACACTGTAGGAGGCAGAGGGGCCTGTGAGGAAGTAGGTCTGTCTTTGCCTGCTGGGATGGGTTTTGCATCTTAATCATGATTCTGGTTCTTTAGTCCTTGGGCAGCAGGTGCTCCAGGTGTGGAAACTCTTATGCAAGGACTGCATGCCTCTGGGCTCAGGGTCCTTTAAAGCCAGACGGATGCATTTCCATTTTAAAACCCAGAAAACAAAAGCTCACTGTAGAAAGCTGAACCCGTTAAAAAATAATTAGCCAAGGCCAAGAAGATTGAGATGGACAAGTTGGAAAAGGCCAAAAAGGAGCGAAAGAAAACTGAGTTTCTGTTGGGCACCAAAAAGGCACCATGACCACTGCCACAGCCACCACCACGACCACCGCCAGCACAACTGTTGCAGATGCTCAAAAGAGAAAGAGCAAATGG